CGTGCGCAGAGTGTGTGAGCTTCATGCAGTAATGTGTCCACATGTCACAAGTATGAATGGATGACAAGYTGACTGGTTTTGACTGTGAGCCAGTAGCCAAGCTGGGCTGTCTCCTCCCCTTCTGCTCGTTTATTTATAGTTGGCCCCTCTTCATTCGTTACCCTGTTTAGTTGTTACTCCTCCTTCACCCATATGTTACCTTCTTTTTTTAAATCTGATATTTAACTCTTTCTGGAAAAATTAATTTCTCTTTTACTTTAAAAAAATCAGCTAAAGTTAACTTTTATCCACTGAGATGCAGTAATAGATATTGTGTTTCCAAATACAACACCAGCACCTGCAAGACCTGAAGGTTTATGTTGGGATGATGAAGCAGATTAAATATCATTAGCACCTCCCAATTTTTACTCATTTTCAGTGCATAGAAATACTTATTTCCAGTTTCACTCATCCTCCTTCTTTTCCTCTTTTTTTCTGTTTCTCCATCCATCATCACATGCTGTGTTCTTCATGTTGGTACAGCCACCTGTTTTTTTTTTCATTCAATCTGACACGGGGATTCCCTYCTGACTGATCCTTGGATTTCAGTATCAAGGGGACTTTTCACTTCCATGCCTGGGGAGGTGGCAGAAATATCTGTGTTTTCCTTCTGTGTRCATGAGAGTGAAAGACAGAAAGGCCGACACCGTGCACTAAGTGGTGAGTGAGAGATGACAGAGCCTGTGATCCAATTTTTTCCCCTTCAAGATTCTGGGCTGTTTTTTTCTGCGCAGTTGCTTTGTGACAAGCGTGGCATCGATCTTATCTCTTTGGGTCTTTGTTGTCGTCTAGCTGTCTCTAATCCTCTGTCCTCTATCACTAACCACTATAATGTCACCAGTCATTTGTTTGTGCATCCATTCAATCAATCAGGTCCAGGGCTGTAATTTAAAGAATCAATAACCGGCTGATGGCCCTATGCTAAACTTGCTTTCGTCCTCTGAATTTGGAGTGGCATCAGTTACTGCCTCATTAATCTGGATACCACAGGAGCTTCAAGCTCTGATTTCTCTTTAGCATCATTTCATTAACCATTTATTTAAAAACAACATATAAAATTCATACCAACAAATCAGTTTGATATGGTTCTACTTATCAATTCTTTTTAAAAAATGTCATATTGCAGTAAAATACAGCTCTATTAGCTGATCTTAAGCTTTAGACTTTTGCACAACCCTGTGAAAAAATATAAAAGAATTCAAAATAGAGTTTGGCCAATTGGTTATAATGGAGAAGTTGRATGTGTGTTTTACATTGTGATAAGAAGACACTAGTTTATCACAGGTTTTGTTTTTCCTTTAAGTGTTGTGCATTTTTTGCAACAATTCATTCATCAACGGAACACTTACAGTTGTTCCTTTTCCAYGTAAACTCAGTTGTTAATGAATGATCCTTGGCTATTTCATTAAACAGTTGTTGTGTTTATTACTAGAAGGACTGAGGATGGTTTACAGATTTACATTAGTGTGTTAATCAACAGCTAAGAAGGCAGTTTTAGAGTTAAGTCTCAACACTAAGCCTCATTTTTCTTATTTTAATTAACAACACGAAGGAAGGAGGACTCTTGGTAAGCCAGCTGCAGGCTCCGAGGCATTTCGACAGCTTATCCCTTACTGAGACCTGGTTAGCATTAGTCTCTTTGCGGGAAGCCCCTCTGTTAGCYACTACAGGCTTGTTCCTAAAAACACACCTCAGCCTAGGGTGACAAAGTGGCGTGTTCTTGAGCTGCTGATAAAAGTCATTAGTTTGTGGATTAGCCTTGATTAGCTCGACTACTCTCCTCCCCCTTGGTACTTTGTGCGTGTGTTAATTACACATTCACAACTTTGAATTTTGTAGAGAATCTTTGTTCTTAGTTTAATTGTATATTTAACTTGGTTTTCTTTTCACCATATTAGACCGTTGCTAAAATAGGACTTGGAGTGTGCCGCATAGTTTCTCTACAGAGACAAATAGTAGTAGCACCGTTGTGGCATGGTAATTTTGTGGTCTGTGCTGCACTCTCTGTATCCTGAAGCTGCAGGTCTGAGCCCAGGTTGCACCARGAAACGCCAAGTCTGTCCTGCGAGTTTGCTCGCTGTGGCAAAGCCCTGCAGAAGAGATCAGAAAGAAACAAAAAATCAAAATGTGTGAATGTTTTTAATTTCAAATTCTGAAAAGCACAAAAAGAGCTGCAGGCTGTTCCTAGGCATTTTAAACACTTTTACAACATGTTGCATTTAAGACCGGGTGGAGATGAGCCTGATATTTGTCAGAAGATAACTACGAACGGAGTGTCAAGATAGATTTCAGTCAACCTGAGCCTGACTGAAATCRTTTTTGTAGTGAAAATACTGTGACTGTATTGAATAATTAAGAGGAAGGGACCTGATTTCATGCCCAGTTAAGCAAACCGTTTTGTATGAGTTTAACAGAAACACAGTTAGCTGACAGATCAGAGTCTGACTTCAATCTGCAGAAATGTTCACAAAACAGTCAAAAATGAAAATGACACAAAATCAAGATGAAGGCTGTCACTGGCTTGGTAAAAAATTTTCTTTGATGAGATTGCGTCAAGACAGGTACGCCTTAAACTCACACAGTTCTTTGATCTCCATCCTTGTCAGGAAAAGTTGGGGATGGAGGGGGACATGGACAAGTAGTGTGGAGGAGAAGGGTGAGCAGATAACAGCAAGCAGAGCAGGGTGCTCAGGATTTACCAGTGGCTTCTGTCAAAGTGGTTTTCGGCTGATTTCCGGTGTCAGCTGTACATGCTGACAATGGTCTCTGGAGATGCTGACACAAGTTCGAACTGATCAGCTCCATTATGGTGGAATTTTAGGGCTCACTGCTCTGAATATTTCTCAGSCACTTAGAACACAATGGGGGAAAAMTAGCTTTTTGTTATTTTGTTATCAGGGGAAAAATGAAAGTTTGATGCAGCAATCTCAATATTTTAAACCATTTTCACAAACAAGTTGCACACCTAAAAGACATAAATCTATTGCTTTGTTGTGTTGCTCCTTATATTACTTATCTGAACAAGCTAAAAGCAATTTCACCATAATAAAAACACCAAATTWAAAAAAAATTGATTCAGTTTTATATAAGCAACTCATACATTTTTTTTTACTTGAGATAGTGATGTTTACTGATTTGGAAGCTAAATGGCCTAATTGTGGTCAAAACTGATTTCCATCCAGTCTAGAAAGTGCCAGTCCGTTCCTTTTTATTGATTTACGTCACAGACAGCTCTCAGATGTAACCTTAAAAGAAACCTGTCTGTGAGATCTCATTACAGATAATTAATTAAAAGCCTCGYATTCACTGAAGGAATGCAGGCTGCCCACTGCCTTTCAGACCAGATATTTAAATAAATACCATCCTATGTGAGGAGGAACAGAGCTCAAGCCTATCTGGTCACAATCTCAAGCAATTATTGTCARATCTTACACACCAACTACACAACTTCCAAAACACCAGCAGTGTGAATGTTTGTCAAGCTTTCACACTATTAAGATTGTTTCTTCCTTACGTTTTTCAGCAMTTAACTTGTCCGCAATTTTGGTCCTGTTTTAACAATTCAAATAAAAAACTATTCTGCTCCTTAACTAATTCATTTCTCAAAATCAGAGGAGCCCAAAGTGGGGCCCGTGGGCCAAATTTGGCCCCCAAGCCATTTGATTTGGCCCACCAACAGTTGCCAAAGTTACAAGGTTGTAACCTGTTATCCTATGTAGAAACACAGTATTTCCATTGGTCAAATGACTATATAAAAGGGCTGTAGTGAAGGTAGTTTTCAGTCATGGTGCTGACATATCTTTGATTTATTAGGATTAAACATGAAACATGAAATGACAAGAAATATTTAGAGCAGATTTAACCTCACATGTAGATTTGCACACTTTATAAGGCCACAAAAACTCATATTTTATCAATTTATGAAATGTCCCATGAGCCTTTGCTACTTGAGCGTATGGCAGACTTTCTCCAAGTGCACAGAACAAAACAAAAGAGGGTCATTGCACAGCTTAATCGTTAAAAATAAAGAACTTCACTTAAAAAGTATTTGTATTTCATGTATTATATTACTGCATTTGGCCCGCAGCCCTGGATAGATTTTCATTTTGGCCCACTCAAGGAAAATGTTTGGGCGCCCCTGCTCATAATCAAATGCAAAGGACAATAAAACAAAAAGTGCATTTTAATTTCAATTTCATCCAAATCACACAAAGAAGACATACGATTCTCCTCTGGAAGTGAACAAAATTGTCCAATGCCAAAGGCAAAGTGTCAGATCTAAACTGTGCATGGACAGACCTTTGATGTATAGATTTTGTGTTGCACATTAGATTATAGGTTTGTAATTTTGGTTTGCGTAAGATATCAACTGCCTAATCAACTTGTGCTAATTTCAAATTATTTGTCCTTCTGTCAGCTTCTTTCAGCTATAAGGTTTTATTCTTCTTTCAGCTGCATTCTGCTAATTTTAGCTGTTTTCTGTGTTTTTAAATAGTGACTTTTTGTAATCATTTCATCTCCGTACTGCTTAATCCAGCAAACATGCTCTTTCTGTTTATTTCTGCTAATTTAAGCTGTTTCATCTACTTGCTTTTAGCTATTTAAGGGCTAGGTTAAGCTTTTTTTTAGGTATTCAGCAAAAATCTTACAGCATTAAGCGTTCACACTGCATTTTTACAGGAAATGCAAATTCTTTAGTTGGGTTTGCTAAATTCACTTAATTGTGRCTTATCCAATGATTACTTTGAGAGCATCATTTAAGTTTCACCTCTTGTTTTTGAGATATTTAGCTAACTTTGCACACTTCGCAGACATGGGCAAAAACATTTTCACCTTCAGCAGTGAGCTAAAAAAAGTTTTTTACTGAGGTTTTTAAAGTACTTTGTGTTGATCTTGCAATAATAAAACATTTTTTCCTTTTTTTCTCTTCCTCCCCCCTTTTCTATCCCCCTCTCTTTCAGGTGGAGCGAGAAATAGCTATTCTGAAGCTTATAGAACACCCACATGTTTTAAAGCTGCATGATGTCTATGAAAATAAAAAATACTTGTAAGTATCAGCAGCTGATGCTGCTCTAACTTTGATTTCCACTCAAAACGAATTAGCTGGCTTTTTCAGAGGTTTAATGTTTTAATAAAACAAAAATACTCCACGTAGAGGATATCTGTACAAAATGGTTAAAGTTCAGGTGGTCCTTCGGATTCCAAAGATGGTCTAATGCAGCAGATCGTTTTGCTGTTTTATGATTGGAGGACATTGGGATTGCCTTGGAGGGATGGATGCTCCATTAGCARCAGCACTGAGCATTTATTTAGTCATGGATGCTAGGGGCCTGCTAATAGTGAGGGGCAGTCTCAGTAATGTAAATGCCATGGTACGCTTATCAGTGGCAACGCCGCTACATGAAGGAAAAAAAAGGCACAGAGATGTGGTGCTGCAGCTGTGTTTTCACACTGATGCAGAATCTATTACCTAACTTTTACATTGCTGAGTGACAGCCCCTTTGGTTGTTTAGTAGACCTCTTGATCTACAGAGGATTGGTTGTCAACTAAATTCATTTAGTTCTCATCTTGAGCTTTCAGGCCAAACGGAGACGGGGCATCCCGACCAGTGCATGTCATCCTTTTTAGATGGTGGGAAAAGCAGAATATTAGGATTCGTTCCATAATTGGATTATTAAAATCACATTTTGTACCCATTGCTTCATCACTTGTGGCAGACGGTGACCAGCAGCATCTCMGAAGACAAATCGCTTTACATTTGCGTGACTCAAGAGTCTGGAACGCACTTGTAGCAGTAATATGATTTGGCTCCTCGTACRATTTAGATTCTTACTTAGATGTCACCACTTGAAAGACAATAATGGATAGATGTAGAGGACGTTTGAATTTAGCAGTCCCAGAGCTTTAAAGATTTATTATGTTTTTGGCACAGATCCTACCACAGGCTGTTTAAACTAATGCACTGTRTATGTGGAGAAGAGGGGGAGGATATTTGATACCTAGCCTATGATAATTAATTTATAGGGTATRATAACACTCATAATATTGTATAATATAAATTATGCTTCTTGAAATGAAAAATGGTGACCATAAATTATCAGTTCACTTGATTTGTGTCAGTTTTTATTTCAGACTTTTCATTGCTGTAGTGATACAGTTACAAAAAGAGAAGTTGGCTACTTTTTAAATTATATTTGAGAAAAAAGATATTTATTAATGAGTTATTTATATAAGATGACCAGGTTGATTTAAAAGATTCACAGTATGTTTTTGATACTTCACAAATCAAGCTCTAAAGAGACTTAAAATAACTGATCACCTCCTCTTTAGACATAAAAGAAAAGCTTATTTTCAAGCGTGTATCAAATGTTTAATCTTCAAACACCTTCATACAAACTGTTGTTTCTATGCAGCCAAACCCGGTAAAACAGTCTTGAGGAGTTGCATCAATGACAAATAAACTGTTCATCATCAGAGTAAATGAGTGTGGTGCACTGGTGAACGGTTTCCAGTAAACTCTGGGAATGAAACAAAATGCATTGTTTTGCAAAAAAAACCTACATTTAAAATCCAAGTCTACATAAAATTTTGATCATTTAGCCTCCAGTTCTGATTTGTCTGTAACGTAAATGTGTGTGTTCTCTGACTTGATTTAAAGCTCCTGGGGAAGCCTCTTCTGGTTTTAGCAAATACACTTTCTTAGACAAAACCCTTTGAATCACCATATGTTAGTTAGTAAAACTTCAGTGATKGATGTGGATCCATGTTTCCAAAAGGAGTGGCGAAAGAAAAGGGTATTTTACAGCCTTTCTGAATTTCAATTTGTCCTTGTTAGGTGTGAAGTAGTTTTGGTGGAGGATATATGAGCAGAGCAGAGGCAGGGCCATGCTGGATTTCACCCCACAGATATGGCTTTGTTCTTGGGTCAGTGGAGATTTATTTTCCCTCTGTCCCCTTGGAGCCTCCGAGCATGACCAAACTAAACACTCAGGATGACAAACTGGCCTTCCAAAAGTCCAGCCTCACAGACRTGAAGGCTACCTGCTGAGCAGCCACATGAAAAGTGATCACGCTGGTGGATTTGATATGTTTTTTTTTAAGTTGTTGCACAAATATTTATGTGACACCAGAAAAAAATGGCAAAGAATCAGAATCTCGTTTACATGAATGTAGGCTGTGCTGCTGGCATCCTTCACTCTATGACAGAATAAAAAATAGGCAGTCGACATGATATGGCTTTTTGGAGATTATGTCATTAAATATGAGCTTTATGTCTGCATAATGGCTTTGAGGTTACCATATTTCTATCTTTATGTCAGTTTTCTCACTGAATGTCAGACTGTTGCAAATAAATGTTTACAACAAGTATTTGTGTTTTTCATCCAGTCTTATAAGATTTATATGCAAGACTTAGTAAAAATCTAGATTTCCTTTTACTYGTTGTAACATCTCTGTGTATTTTTCAGGTACCTTGTCTTAGAACACGTGTCCGGGGGCGAACTGTTTGACTACTTGGTGAAGAAAGGCAGGTTAACACCCAAAGAGGCCAGGAAATTTTTCAGACAAATCATGTCTGCCTTGGATTTTTGCCACAGTCATTCTATATGGTAAGTGGTCCAACTTACGTGTAGAACAAAATGTTGGGAACTTTCTGAAAGCTTTAAAGTACACTGAAACATCTCAAGTTGCGAAAGTCCCATTTATCATTTCTAATCTATAAAAAAGAAAAAATCTCACTAATACTTAAAAAGAAAACCAACTAATAAACAGTCGTAGCTAGGGGGCATAACAAAGTCAATTTGGTGATCACACACCATTGAGCAAATAATGAGCTCTCTGGTAATGAATTCAGAGACGATACAGAATCTTCCTGCAGTAACTCTGCAGCATGCATTTCTGTACGTTTATCCGGAACGCCATTTAGCTTTCAAAACAGCGATTTAATAATAAATTCCAGAACCGAGAAAACACATGTTGCATCTCATCACATTATAAAGATACATGTGTCTCCGTATGGCGTTATGTATGTCATTTAATTATAAAGAACAAACACATTGCTTTTCATAAAGCAACTCAGAGAACTAGTTAAAAACAAACATCTCGATCAGCACAGCACGTTTTGTCACAGTCGCATTAATGTGACACACTGTGTTCTGCYTCGGGGGGTAATTTAAATGTTTACCAACTCAAAGACCAGAGGCAATCATATATACTTCAAAAGTCAAACAAGTCAGCAGGGACTGAATTAGAGCACTGTTTGGTGTGTTTATTTTATGTGTGTGTGTGTCAGACATATCTGCTGATGATCCCAAAGCTTTAAGAGACTTTGTTTCCCTCTCCAGAGAGTGTGTGCCTATTGTTGAAAAAACTGTTATAAGTCTCTTAACTTGTAAAAAATGAAAAAAAAAAAAAGATACACACATGAAGAAATGGGAGAAAGAACTGCAAAGACGAGGGACCCTGTCAGACAATAGACTTACTTCCAAGATGTTTTGTGTGCAGCGAGGATTAAAACTAAACTGCTTTGTTTAAGAAAAAAAGAAAAGTCTTTTTTATCCTGTGTTAATAATGCTTAATAATAAGAGAATAACAGATTAGACCAATTAGAAGAAAGTATTTGGAACTGACACTGAGTGCACGCACACACACAGATTACAGCAGCTCTTTTGTAGGCACACACACACACAAATGCATATTAATCTCTCCTGTTTTACTTTGGCGCAGTCCTTTCTGTCTTAGCTCTTTAAATCTCTTTCGCTAACACTCTTAGAAAATGATGCCTTGTAAATTTATCATGAGGAGGATTATTTGGGAGCATCGGTTCACCGACTCCCCCTCCTCCCAAGCTCAATTAAGAGCAAACAGACAGACAGAAACAACCCCTCTCACCTTCCTTCCATCCCCACTAATGAGATCCCAGCATCCACCCTCGACAAAAAGAAAAGTGATTTTCGGCAATCATTCCTCCCATTTTGGAAATGTTTGCATGCGAGAGGGGGGACCGACATAGACCATTAAAAGTGTGCCACTTTCTCTGTGACTCACCGCGCAGGGTAGGGCTTCTAAGGGAAAGAGGGGGTGGGATCGGGGGGAGGTGGGTAGCACATGCTCGTCAAGCATCCTTTTGTGCACACGTCCCATTTTAACTTATTGTTGCTTCGTACTTCCGTCCTCCGCCCACGTTTTATCCCCAAATATCTCTCCGGGGCCAGATGGATTCAAACCCATCTGTGACGGAAAAAGAATGTAGAAAGGAAGAGCTATTATGACTCAGAGTTTTCTTTCGCTGATTCAGATTGCACACTGATTCAGGGATTGTCTTTTCACAAGGAAAGAAAAGAGGAGAAAGATGCAGGGAAAAAAAGCCATAAAGTAGCATCCATCATTAAAGCAAATGCATAATGAATTCTGAGTCAGAGTAAATGACATTTTCTCTACTTCCCACCTCCATAAAAAGTTCTGTTTTAGACATGGACTGACTCTAAACCTCGTTAGAGTCACCACAAGTGAACAACCCATGTGGCTTCAGTCTTCTTTTCAGAGATGATAAAGTTCCAGGTGTTGAGCTGATGTGGTCCAAGAGCTGCTTTTGATTGACATTATCCAGTCCAAATGTACGTTTTGTAACTTTATATAGATTTACCTGACAATTGTCAATAAGAGTTTTGATATTTAACCAAGTTATAAATTCTCCTAAGGCATTTGTGGGCATTTTTTTTTCTGCACGTCTGCCTGGCCAAATAAAAAAAGTCGCCACCAAATAAAAAGATCATACTCTAGTATTTTGATGGTCCACCTTTAGCTTTGATTGCGGCGCACAGTGGCATTGTTTGGATAAGCTTCCTGATGGGGGCATCATCGAAGACGAAGGGTCCCCGTCATCCTTCCAGTTTCTTATGATGCGTTGGACAGTTCTTAAACAAATTTGTTTTCTCTGTTGGATGCGTGCCAGGGATTTGACCCTTCTCAAACAGACTGACATTGTTTCCACAACCACAGGATGTTTCTTTTGACATGGTTGTTTGTTTAAGAAGAAGCAACTCATTGCACCAGCTGGGAAGAAATAACGTTGCCAGCTGGTCCAGTGCTCATGTAGATCATTTCCTTCTATGTCTTTTTGTATGTGTTAAATGAACTTAGTAAAATGAATCACACAAGACTAATTTGGATATGGGCTACTCTCTGAGTTGCATCCAGAAACTTGTATTTCAGCTGCAATTGTTTGCATTTCAGCAATGAAATAAATCCTCCCTGCTCATGGTCTTCACTGATTCTCTGTCCTAAGCTTTAAAACTCTTCTGTCCAACATTAATTTTGGTCAGAACGCTACTGATGACGTTTTATTTGACATTGAAAGCTGACAATTTTTAACATTATCTAGGACAAAGTTAAAGAATATATCATTGACACTTTCATTAATACATCAATCCACAGTTGCAGCATAAAATTCAGCAAAAAGGTTGTTTACATTTTTCTCATATTTCACTTTATTGTTCGTGTCAGAAATTGATGTAAATATATGAAAATGAGACAAACTCGGCTGTATTTTATACTTCTCCTATTCTGTTTTTATTCTAGCCATTAACAACAATAAATCAYTTGTTTGGAGGGAATTAAATCAATGTGATTGCTTTAAACAAATCTTGCTCAAACAAATTCAACCGAATAACAAACATAACTATAAACTTCTTCATAAATGACAGTTTTAAATTATCACAGCAACTTTTTTTTACAAAAATATATTTTTATTGTTTTCACTCCTCATTGCTTTTAGTACCTAATTAACCCCATCAGCTAATGAACATTTGTGCTGAGCACAGACAATAAACAGAATACTGTCCTCTTTTGCTAATGTGATAGAATATTGCCCCAAAGCTCCTTTTTTTGTGTGAATGAGCTTAATGCCTCTCTAAGTGGGTCAGAAGAAGCCAAAAGTGTTTGAGAGGGAAAAAAAGTGAAGATAAAAAGAGCAGCATGAAAAAAGGGCTAAAGGTTTGCATCTCAGCTCTCAGAAACAATTAAAGGAAGGCTGTTGAGGAGAACAGTAATGACACTTGGAAAGTTTTAACTTTATGAAAATAATAAAACTATATAGAGAATGCCAAGAGTGTGTGAAGCAGAAATCAAAGCAAAAGGTGGCTACTTTGATGAACCTAGAATATAAGACATATTTTCAGTTGTTTCACACTTTTTTCAAGTATATAATACCACGTGTTAATTCATAGTTTTGATGCCTTCAGTGTGAATCTACAATTTTCATAGTCATGAAAATAAAGAAAACTCTTTATGTATAAATAAACTTAGTGGTAAGAAAGTATCTATGTTGTACTATATTTCCCATTTCCCCCATGTATCATTATTATTATTATTATTATTATTATTATTATTATTATTATTGATGATGATTATGATGATGATGATTTGGTCTGTGCTGATGCAGGATGCCAGTTCAGACAGAACATACAGAACACACGAGGCATTTCTTCTCTGATTATCCTTCATCTTGGCTGAAAGAATATTCCTGACAGAATGTCAAACTGTGATGTTTGTTAAATCACTTCTAACCCATTTAAACCACTGCTCAAAATTAGCCTTGTTTCTGAAGGCTTTATCAAAAAAAGTCTGAATATTCTGCTAACATCCAGTCCTTGTATTCTGACTCTTGACTTTATCTCTTCTCTCATTTAAACTGCTCACAAGTGAATTTTACCTTCAAGCTTTGTAGAGCAATTTKTTGGCAGGAGAAGTTTTCTCAATATTTTTTAGTATAATCGAGCACATTGATCACTTTTCCTCTACCCACTTACCTTTCAGCCCCCTCCTCCCTTTTTTATTACAACTGATGGCCCTTGAATAGGCCGTTTGTTCCTTTCCCTCGTGCTTTGACATTACTCATTAAAACTCCCAGGCTATTGACATCACCATCAAATGATCGCAGTGTGAACTAAAAGAGGCTGTAGCCTGGGGACAGCTGTTTTAAATGCTATCTAAGTTTTATTTCAATTATAGCAAGGATCACAGAAACTGCCAGCATGATAACAAACCTGCTGACAGCTAGTCCCTCAGGACAGGAAATGAGTTGTACGACMATTGATGTCATCTAAGGTTAAACGTCTATTTTGATGACGCATTCTTCAAAGGCAGATATATTTAGCTATTGGTCTAACTGCCTTTCTTCCATCATTAACCTAAGAACATAAAAGTGTTTTTCATAATATAAAGTTAGCATTTGCCATTTAGGCCCCATGTGGGCACTAATTTAAATTAGTATGAGATTAATTTTTAAGGCATAAAGTTCATTAAAAAAACTCATGCATGTTTACCAGATTAGTGTTAATRTAAAATTAGATTTAAAATATATCAAAAAAAGATTAATTAAAAGAAATGTAGCTATCAAGGCTAATAAAAGACTGTTAGTTGAAGATCTTTAAAAAGGGGAAACTCTGATGTTCTGCACTGCTCTACTGTCTGCAGCATCTGTCCAAATATCCTGAACATCCTTCACTGATTACGTCAGATTAAAATAAATCTTTTCTGCACATTTGCCACAAAATTCAATATCTATATTTTATTAAAGGGGGTTATTACGCAAAATCAACTTTATTTTTGTCTTTACATCATGTTGTGATGTAATTCCCTCATAAAACAGACCCAGTGTTGCTTTGACTCATTTRYGCATKTTTAAGAAATACTTGAATCTCCTGCGGTAGCCATGTGGAGCTGTGCAACACTTGCTGGTACAAAGCACCGCCTATTTGTACCTAGCTCCTCCCTGAAGCTCGGTTTGTAGCCAAGGTTCCGCCCCCACAGAGCATCCCTTCCCTGAAGCCATGTTGTGAGGATGTGCTGAAGTGGGAGTGTCAGAAGCGGTAGGAGATTCTTTAGGAGACAAAAACATGTCAAGATGTTGAGATAGGCTATTGATACGAAGTCAAATTTATTTTTGATATATACAGCATTTTCATGACAACTGAATGTGACATTGATTGTGATAAAGAATTTAACTATGTGCCTGGAAAATACATACCCCCCCCCCACCATGAAAATCTAAAAACGTTGTCTATAATAAAGGTTTTATAAAGATAAGTTTTGTTGACTAAGAAAGTTAAACTGCAACATTTTAGCCGCAAGAAAAGGTAGGCTATATTTAAATACATGTATTATATATAGGATCTCCAGCTCTTCAAGTACGAATCACTGAGCTTTGTTTGTAGTTAATGGCACTGGGAACATTTCACTAGTCGAAGAAAAAACATGTTTAATTAACTGCTGATTGTTGAAACAAATGGTTCAACAAAAAATAAAAAATAATTTTAAAAATAGATAACTTTTACAGTCGTTTCTGTTTCTTAAAGGGTCTAAATGTCCTCAATAAGCTTCTTAGTAAACACAAGCTGATATATTGTATTTTTTTTCTCTATTTTGACCTAAATGTGAGTCAAGAAGAAGTTTTTTTTAACGAGTTTGTGTCTATATTAAAAATACTTACTGAAGGGATGAAACTGAAGCTGTATCCTACAGAGCCCACGAGGAGACATGTGGGGATTTTTTTTTCTTTTGCGCGATACGTTTTGTGTTACCTCGCAATACTTTTGTGTTACCTTGCAAACATTTGCATTCTCTCACAATGTTGTTTTATGTTCCATCGCAAAGGTTTGTTTTGTATTAACTGAATTAAATCAGACTTATATTTGGAAATATCCAGTTACCAAAACAGAATGTGTCGCCACAAGTCTGTGAAATTGACATTGATGTTGCGTGGCTGCACTGTGTTAAAAGATCGTACTTCCATGCGTGGCTGTGTGATATATTCATTCTGAGGCTGAATTAAAGTAGTTGGCTAACTCACTAATGGTGCACATGTGAGTGTGCACAGTGATAAACAACTTTTGAGGGGTAACGCAATACTATTGCGTGGGCATGGGAACGCAAAAGAAAAAAWMMCCCATGTCTCCTTGCGGGCTCCGTAGKATCCAACCATCTACATAAAGTAGAGACCTTTGCACTCTGCCATACAAACAGAACAATGAACAGAGATTTATGTCTCTGTATTTGCAGATACCTGTTTGTTCTGCTTTAAAGAGTCCAGTCTTGATGGATGCCACATGGAAACAGTCAAGTCTAATCAAGTCCAGCTCTAAACACGGAAAGAGGTTTTACATTTCCAAAAGTGCTAACCCCACATCGTTTAGAGAAAGTTATAATTCTGAGACTCTGACTCAGCTTCAGAACATGACRTAAGAAAATCATTTCTGTCAGTGGTCCTTTTAAAAGCAGGAGATTATGTCCGCTGGATATTCTCCTCCCTGCTGTGTTTGATGGTAATGAATGGCAGCTAATGAACACCACCGCTGTGGCTGGCTTCCTCTCTGGAAACCCCCCCCCCCCCCCCAAACCAGTTCACTGGTGGCTGTCTGGGAGATGAGAGGGAAGGGGATGAGGGATGGAGAGCAAGGGGAAACAGGAGGAAAGGACACAGCGGGGGGGCTGTCACACCTTGTAGCATGCCAACACCGAGGTGGGGGTCTCTGAAGCTTCGGCACAGGCAGATCAAAGCGAGGTGTTGCGCGGAGGTGAAGGGCAGGTGAAGATGCTTTGTTCTTCACAGCTGCGAGCACGGACCCAGTGATTACGAGTCCCCTCAGCAAACCCCTCGTTTCTCCTCAGTTTAGTCTGTTACATAACTCTATATGAGAGATTTCATGTTTCATTAACTCTGTTCTGTGCTTGTGTCTCTGATTTCTCAGCCACAGGGACCTAAAGCCAGAGAACCTGTTGCTAGATGAAAAGAACAACATCAGGATAGCAGACTTTGGCATGGCGTCCCTTCAGGTTGGAGACAGTCTGTTGGAAACCAGCTGTGGGTAAGCATTATTAAAAACATCGCGTTGCCTCTTTTCCAATGCATAAAGTATCTCATGAAATGTTCAAATTGTTCTAAGGGCAGGGGCGGAGCCAGGGGGTGGCCAGGGGTGGCCAGGGGTGGCCATGGCCTCCACAGACAAATCTTTGGCCACCCCCATTGGCCACCCCGCTGTACACGCCCCTTCCACAGTGAAACCTTTTTAAGGGGTGTAATAATCCTCCTGAACAGTTGGTGGCAGTGTTCAACAGTTTGAAACATTACCAAGCTCTATCCCTGAAGAAGAGTTGATTATTTTATTTAGGTAATCTGACTTATGGTGACAAATGTTTTTTATTTTGTTATTTATTTTATTTTTATTTTTTTCATTTTATGTTCTGAAGGCTGCATGATACCCTGTCCCTTCTGGTGATGAATAGACCTATCACTAAATCAAAAAAAGTGCAATACCCCTCTAAATTCACTGTTGGTGGTTATCAATTTTGCACCTGTTCATTGGGTAAAATTATAAACATTAGCTTAAACATGCAGTTGAAGGTCATCATTATTTGGCACAAATACATATGTTACAATTAAAAATAAATCAATAAACAATATAAAAGTAAAAAGCACCCCTAAAGACATTGGATATGATAGTGTGTCACTTTAATTAACCTMATCTCAGCCAAAGCAATGAGTTTAAAAACAGGATGATGGAACTAGTTTAATGAMGAATTTGTCTCTGAAATAATTATTAAATCAAGTGTTTATTTATGTTGGTAAAAGTATATTAAACAACCTGGTAAAATACACCAAAATGMAGGAAATGGCATCTATTTTGTTCAAAATTTTAGGGGGGGGGGACCCACAGGCCCCCAGTGTGCCTCCCACCCCCATTTTCAAATTGGTTTTGACGCCCATGTTTATAAGATAGTCACTACCTGTATCAGGACATAAGGAAACGACAAAAACACAAATAGATGTAGAAACTTACAAGTAAAAAATGATGTAATTTTCCTGGCCACCCCTGTGTGTAGTGGTCCCTGTCTGGCCACACCTGAGAAAAACGTCTGGCTCCGCCACTGTCTAAGGGTAATGCAAATCTTCTCATTGGAGGGGAAGTGGGAAAACTAATGCACAGAGAAAAACAATTAGTCACAGARAARGATSAGTGGGGAAATCAGGGCCATCGTTTTTATCCCTCCACACGGCGCCGTGTTTATTTCTTGAGAGCAGGGTTTTGTTCCCTGCTGATTGTTCCTTTGCTCTGAGCAGGGACAGGGCCTTGGCCAAACATCCCTGCCCTCTATCTCCTCCTATCACACTGCCGGTTTATGTTCCTACCTTTACGATCCCAGAGCACTCGTCAATCCTATGACCACAATAAATTTGCTTGCAGGAAAAGTCACTGCATGGCAGCAATCAAAAGAGAAGGCTGAAGTCTCTATAGTTGAGGAGTGCTTTTTATTTAACCCTGAGCTGAAGGGGACAGGGCGGATGGTGAAAGTTTATCAGAGTTTTCTAYGGAGCTCAACGACTGCATAGATTAAACCGCTCCGTTTTGTCTCTAAAGAGTTTAGTTTTAGTCTGAAAATGTAATATCGTTTAAACCAGACATTTTTTTATATTTGAACTCTGCTTCTTCTATATTGCTTAAATTTTAATCTTCTTTTGTTTAAATTTAATTAATTTGCTTTGTGATGTCAGCTTTGTCACTTGTAATTTGACAATTATCCACAGTTTGAACACAGTAGCCATGTTTCCATCAATGTTCTTTATGCTCATTTTGAAGTACTGCATTAGAAATGCTTGATGGAAAAAATGGTTTTATGCCTGGTTTAGGTGGAAACACATTTGCTGAATAAGTTCTGACATAAAAAAACATTTATCTTATATGACTGACCAGCTGTTTCTGCTGTCTGCATCCTCCCRGWTATTCCTATAAGAATTGCATTTCTTTCTCTCCATCTTCTGGCAACATGTAACATCACCAGTACCAGTTGATATGACAGAACAATCACAACTTGCCCGATAACAACACATTCCTGAAAACTGAAAACTTCTCTCCATTGTCCTGAGATGTGTGGTCCCAGCTTTGCAACCTCTACTTCCTGTTTACTACAGCCATGCATAACATTGTCTGATGTAATTACCGCTTTGGTGGATTTGCTCCAAACCAGTAAATAGAAATGCTTAATTTGGATTTCTTTTTCTTTTTTCTATCCTTCTTTTGCAACATTTTAAAAAGTTTGCTCCAAATTCACATTACAATTGGATGGAAACATGGCTAGTGTGACTGGCCCTTCCTCTTAACTGAATTGATGTGTGAAGAAGCAGCTACCGTTCAAAGAAAAAAAAAAGGCAAACAGAAAGCCAGGAAAACTGTTTCTCAGAACTTTCAAAGATTCTAGATTGGCATTTGTCTTTGTAATAAATAATTGTGTTGATTTTCTAGGATTTATTCAGATTAATATCAACAAAGTTGCTTGAGGGACTTTTTTCCCTCTGTCTGTGCGTATCTTGTGACAGAAAGAGTATTTGCTTTGTCATGACTCTCCTGGCAGATGTGGCTGACAGGAAGTCCTGGTGACATCTGTCCCTGCTCTGATTGACTCTGTCCAGATTAAATTGAAATGCAACTGAAAGTAGGCGTACGCAGAATTTAGAAAGTGCATATGCTCACGCAGCACAGATGAAGATTACTTTATCCCCAACCTCTAAACGTCTTTGTCCTCTCATTGGTTGTTTTTTATTTATTTATTTTTTATTTTCTGTGTACCTCCCTGTTTCTGACACCTGCCTTTCATATTTGTGCATTACAACCCAAATAATTAGACACATCCAGCCAGCTGAAACTGTTGTGTAATTTCTTTCAAGCCTAAGCTCTTATGACTCATCAGGAGTGATTAGTGTGTATGTGTGTGTACAAAAATGCAAATCAGATGTACACAGCAGAATATTTTTAGAGGTGTGACCACGCTGAAATGTTTCCATTACTCTATAAAGAGGCAAAAGTGATGCCTCTTACGCAGCAAAATGGGTCGAGCAGTTTCGCTTCTATCGGAACATATTCTGCTGCCACTTTTGTGTAAGATCTGATCCAAGAGAAGTTCATCTGCTCATGTATTTACAAAGTGCTTCAAGTACTTGTTGCAGGAGAAAACACAGGGCTCTTACAGAGACGTTGTTCCAAAAATAGGTCTAGTAGTCATCTCTTCACTCTCAGCTTCATCACCATTCTGTTTGCAAGCATGCCTTAGAGATGTGTGCGCCATATATGTGTGTGTGTGTGTGTGTGTGTGTGTGTGTGTGTGTGTGTGTGTGTGTGTG